CCTTATGATATGTGATAGGGACACAGGACACTGTGTGTGAGTGAGTATTAAACTAATCTTAACAGTTTTAAAAAACATAATGAAACTCTAATGATAGAACTAAGAAATGCATTGCATTGTAAAGTATTCATAAGAAAGAAATGATCAGCGGTCAATATCACAACATGACATGAAAATTAGACAGCATAGACTCAAAGTTTAAGTGAAGTGATCATTTGTCACCAAAACTTGCTATCTGGAAAAAGAACAGAATAGATGCATGTATCACCTTGCATCAGTCATAACTTGAACTTTTGCACCACCACCATGTAGATCATAGAAGAATAGCTTTGCAGATGATGACCGCTTGTTCATAAGCCGCCCTTCCAAAAATGAAATATCAACATCATCAGTGAGTGTATGATACAGAACACAAGTCTACAATTGTAATCACTATTACCAGCTAGTCTTTCTTCAGCATCTTCAAGATGATCCCCACTATTTAAACTTTCATATTTCTTCACATAGTCAGGAATGGTTGATGAAGTTGCAAATTTGTGAGGATATGGATTGTTCCCAGCTACCTTCTGAGCTGCAAGCGCTCTCAACCTATTTTCATAATATTGCTGCAGACAAAATAATCTATGTGAAGGAAAAGAACCAAGAAATCCGTCCTCTTAATAAAAACATGAAACGCTCCACCCAAAACCACACTGAAGTAACTGCTCCTCGCCCCGCCCCCCGAACACACACTCAAATATCCTATAAAAACAAAAATCACAAGATAAAAGATAGGATACCTACCGTTGGGTCCATGCCTTCATCTTCTGCAGCGGATGATTTCTGTGCATGTTGCCTTGCCTTGGCAGTGGCCTGAAATTTATGCCGAAGTCATTACAACATCCCATGTCATAATAAACAAAAAAAAGCCATATATCAAAAACTATATGGAGTCAAAATGGATTGATATCCAATTTGGAACAAGTTTCTACACTTTATCATTTAGAGTTTCTGTTATCTCATCAGAAGCCACCACAGCATAATTTTTAGATGTTCATGACACAGTATCTCTGTACAATAAACACATGCTAACATTTTTACTCATACACCGAAGATACACGTAAAAAGTGACACAAATGTGTGCATGTCAGAAACGAATAGCACACGTGTAACAAGATAAAAAATCATTGATTTAGTAATCATTCATATTCCAACATTTTAACTCAAAGAGACGGACAAAATCCTGCGATGAGGAAATTCATTTCGTTTAAAGTATTACTGTAGTGAATCCAAACCTTCGTACTCCTACCAAAGTAACCACATCACCGAACTCCCTCTCCATAAACCCAGTCTTCACCAAAAAATTGTCATTTTTAACACAGCCTCTACCCTGACAGCCTCTTAATAACGTAAATATGCACCTGCTTTCGCACTAAAATACAAGCATATATGCATTAAAAACGAAATTGGCAATACAAACAGCTTAATTATATTAAAAAAAAAGAAAAATTATAGCGTAGAACAGCTGCAAACATAAACACAAAAAGACGTGGCCAAGACTTTGCTTTCCGAATTCCAGAAATGAAATCTGACCTCATAAAAAAAATGATATTGAGATTATAAAAAGTATAAAGATACGATGAATCACAATAAACAGAATACAAAACATACCATTTCGGAGCAGGAAAATGGGGAAAGTTTGATAATGCTCGTTGCCAAATTCGAAACCAAGTCGAAATGTTGAATGTAAAACCCTAGCTACTTGTAGTCTTCCTCTTTTCAGACAGTAGTTTAAGGCATGGGTTCAGTTAACCTTGCATGGCCTGAGGCCCATTATATTGGGCTTGGGTAAGTTTTCAGTTTCGGAAAAATTAAAATCAGGTCACATTATAATTAAAAATAAATTTTTAGAAGACTATGCTGTGTAACTGATTTGGTAAATTAAGGGACTATAATTATAACAGGATACTTTCTCTCACTTACAATATAATTTTACATTGTACAAATTAATTATTTTGTCTATAAAGCTCATGTTGGCCGTCTACATGAAAAAATAATAATAATAATAATAACTTTGTGCAAAATTGTGGCCAACCATTAAGGCAGGGTTGGCCCTGGGGCCAAGCCATCTAGGCCGCCTAGGGCCTCCAAAAATGTGGTTTGGGTCTAGGGCCTCAAAACTCATAGTAATATCGGCAGGCAGAGGAAATTGAAGGGACTCGACCAAAAGGTAAGTCGTCTTCTTCAATTCCTAGAGAATCAGAATTCCCCAATCTCCTCTTGATCTCTCCAAAAACTTCTGTTTTCCTAAAGTTTTCCGTGTCGGTGACTCAATGGTCTGCCCATAAGTTTTCCGTTTTCCTCCAATCAATGTCCTACAGCTCCTGCTCATCTCAACATCTCTGGCGGCCAGCCCTACTCAAGTGCTCATGTATTTAGGTATTAAATAGTTACAGGGCATGAAAGTTGGGAAAAAAACATTTCTTCTTTACAAGGATAATCCATATTGAATACCCAAAAAATTGAAATCTGTAATTTCTTCCCTTGTGAAGAAGATGATTCTTTCCAACTCCTGAAAACCAATTCAGAGGGTAACTTACTAACTCGCTAGAATACTTGTCATCACTGAAAAATTAATAATACAATAATTACTTTGAGATTATTCATTAATACTTTGTAAATTGATTAAAAAGGGGTTTCGGAATAGAGAAAAACCTGATGTGCTGTCGAAAGCGGGCGTTCTTGACTGATTGGTTCTATTGAGAGAGGAAAAGGTGGCCTAATTTTCATAGCATGTTTGGCTAAGATTAATAATATTTCTGTACGATAAAAAAACTAGCTTTCAATCGTTCTTTGGCATTTCTTCCAAGGTCCATTCAAGATGAAGCAAT